TAATTGATTCTCTCACTGCTTTCAATAGCCTTGGCAACAGTTTTTGCGTCGTTACGACAATTCCTCTCTTGTAATCAAGATACTTCCCTTTGGAAAAGTCCAATGGCTCCCCCGCTGCATCGGTCACTTTTCCTCCCGCTTCTGAAACATACCAATTTCACATATACATTTAAGTGATGATGATCATTCATGAACATTTAGACCAAAAACTATATTAGATCATAAGAGCTTGATGATGGTTTTACCTGAAACGATGATTGAGCCAGCGGCGTGGTTCCATATTGATTCAGGTCTTGCTTTGCGGGTAAACCTCAAGTACACTTCTCCATCCCCTCTAGATAAAGCTGCATACTTTGTCTGACTGTTGATCTTGATTGGAGAATCCATTATCCCAAGTTTCTGTCATATGAATTTACAGCGCAAACTGAGTCAAACTCAGATCCAAACAAGAAGATAGAGCACTTGAGGAGGATGTTGTTACCTTAGCAATGGTGTTATGGATAGGGACAGGTGTGTGGTATGACTCAAAGAAACTCGCTTTCGCTGGATCATCAATGCTGCTTACCTCCACCTAACAATGTATTTGATCATTTCTTTAGCAAAACATATTGTAAAGGTTTCCATAGTAATGCATCTAAACAGAGTGGCTCCAAGCAGGTTTACCTTCTCAGGAATAGAGCCAACACTGAGTGACTGAACATAAGTTCCAGTGCCAACCGCGCCGTAGAAAAGGCAACCCATTTTTTCAGGTGAAGACTTCAGTATGTTACTATCAGCAGTGGATGCCAAAGGAAGCTTAGGACAAGCCATTACACCAAGTACTACTTTGCCTTCCACCAGCAATGCTAATCCTATTGCATATTGTTCTCCTCTTATAAATCTACAAATTGGAATTTGCAGGTAATGATGAAACTATCAGTTCCGAGTACTCTATAACAGTTCAATAATGTAAATAAGAAACCAAGAAAACAGATACTACATTTCTGAGACTGATTAGTCCCAGGCGTTGAGATGAAGTGACTAACTCTAAGTACCAAGAACGTTCAGTAAGTAAAGACTAACCCTCTAGTGCCACCAATAGGATCCAAGATCCAATGACGACCTTTAGGACCACCTTCTGATTTGCCACGGTCTATGGCGTTGAGGACATCATCCGAAGACAAAGGAGAATCAGCATATGATTCATCAGAATCAAGAGTATCTTTCACAAGATCTGTAATACGCGCTAAAACAGTCTCAGCAGCAACTTTCCTCAGCTCACCAGAATCCTACACATAAGAAAGAAAAGTCATAAACCCAAGTACAAAACCAGCTTGTATCATTAATAAAACCTGCAATGTTTGATCCATCTTGGGTACCTCTTCAGCCACTAATGACACAGGCTCGTTCTTGAGTTCCCTTTCCAATACAAGACTAACCACCGCCTGCGAACCTATAAAAAGAACATTCCTTTGTTTACAACCAAAAGGATTCATATTCTCTGAGTGACAATGATTACACATTTAAACCCCCAAATCCAAAAAGGTTAGGGTTTTGCAAGAGGACTAACCATAATCAGCCACAGTAACAGGACTCTCATCTGATTTATTCCAGACATCAGATACCAACAGAGATTTTCTCACTTCCTGGAAAACAAGAAAAAGCAAAGCAATTTCACTTTGTTAAAAAATCTGATTCTCAAGTCTCTAAACATAGCACAAATGAGCAGCAATACACACAGATCAAAGGATAAGATATGTTTAAAAACCCAATTAGAAAAACACTGAAATTGCAGATACAAAATCGAAGACTATATAACCCCCATTGTTAATTAATCTTCCATTTTTCGTAAATCAAAATCCAGATTTCATGCCCTAATCCGAAAATCTTCATCTCCGTTGACGATTTCCAAGGAAACAACCATTCAACTCAATTTGTTTTTTCTTCCACAAAGAGTAAAGAACAAAAAAGTCTCTCTCTCTCGAACACACATCGCAATGTCAACGAGCAAAAAGAAGAAGAGAAAATATCTAAAAATCGAGAAACCAAAGATGATCGATCATTTGATCCCCAAATACAGAAAAAGGAGTGATCGTACGTTACTGAGACGAGCAGCGAGAGACACAGCTTTCTTCGCAGCAGCAAGCATATCATCATAAGACATTGAAACACCGAAGAGAAGAGAGTACGAC